ATGAAATGGTCCCACAACATGTTACTTGAATCTTGCGGAAGCTCCCCCGAAGCAGTTTTATATGGCACTTGCCATGACTTCATGGTATTCAACTTCACCATATTTGCCAAAAGAACTGTCCGGCAGACACGAATATTCAAACGGCACCGTGCCCGTCCAAGTTAGCGGATTGAATAGGAAGAATCTCACTTCGAAGATGTCTGAGGGCACGGGCAAGTAGATGGCCCTCTGGAGCCGCACATTGTATCGGATAATGAGGCGAGTATATAAGGGGGTGGGGCCAATTGCCCAAAGATTGTCTTCCAACAGCATCAAGTAGAGAGAGATACATACTGGAATGTAGATGATCGAGTGAGCCGACTGTGTGGGTCTAACAACTGTAGCCACATGTTGCAGAATTGATTGGTGATGGCGAACACCCATTTCATGGTTGTTTAAGAATAAATTTGGGCATGTGTAAAGAAACTAAGTCCCGTACATCAACTTGACGTTAAGGTACAGTCCGTAGTAGCAGGATAAGCACAGTGGGTGAGAGGGGAAGCTCAGTGTGCTACCTTCGTAAACATGTCGGCTACATTGTTGGTGCCCTCGATGTGTCTTACCTCGAGTTGAGAGGAAGACTGGTACTCTCTTATCTTTAAGTACCGCATATCAATGTGTTTTGACCTGCCTGAAGAAACAGGGTTGGAAGAGGTGTGAACTGTTCCAAGGTTGTCGCACAAAATGCTCGTTGCCTTCAGGGGTTCGTCTTTACCTGAGATGGCACAGTTCAGTTCCTGTATGAGGTTCCGTATCCAGATAGCCTCCTGGGCTGCAATGTTTAGAGCAATCAGTTCAGATTCATGAGTGGAAGTAGCTAGTATAGGCTGAAGCTTAGATTTCCATGAGATCAAGTTGCCCATGAAGAAGAAAGTGTAGCCTGTCGTTGACTTCTTAGACTCTTCCATCTTTGGTAGGTGATCAGCATCACTGGCGCCCCAAAGATCCTTACTGCACACAGGATCAAAAGCTCTGGGTGCATCAGATTCAGGTAAGTCATGACTGGGCTTGATGATGCCTAGGGAGTCCCATTTGTAGGAGTCTTTCGGTACAAGATCAAGAAGAGTCTTGTCTTCGTGTGCGCTTGCTTTCAAATGCTCAAAGATGGGATGCTTGTCACGGTAGTAAACTAGCTTCAGTCCCTTTGTGCCATTTAGATACTGAAGGAGTTCCCTAAGGAGGACCACATGTTGCTCAGTAGGGCCATGCATGCCTCTGGAGACTCGACTTACAGCCTGAGTAATATCGGGCCTGCAAGTGATGCTGATATAAATAAGAGAGCCAACAATAGATGCATAGTTCTTAGTGTCATGGAGGTACGCCGTTAACTCCCTGTTATCCTTTACAAGGGGTTTAGCATCTGATCTCATTGGGACAGATTTTGTCCCTATGCCATTTAGAATTGGTCGTTCTTTGAAGAGTGCGTTAAGCTTCTCCTCAACGTCCATAGCAAGGCGCCCAAGGTGCTTATCATATTTGATGTTGATACCGAGGAAGCTAGACATAGGCTCAAACTGTGAGATGTTGAACTCAGCCTTAAGTTGGTCTCTGAGTTCGACTACCATTCTCGGTGAGCCAGTGATGACAAGATCGTCCACTTCGCAAAGGACAAAGAGATTTTCCCGCAGGCCGTCTGATTGTACTTTGGTCTTATGATACAAAGAGGTTTCAGACGTGGCACGCGTGAATCCCAACTTTTCAAAGAAGGATGTCAAAGCCTTGTTCCAGAGCTGTGGAGATTGTTTGAGTCCATAGAGTGCTTTGCGCAACTTAACGACGTCACCTGATTTACCATTACGTTCAACAGTGACGCCTCTTGGAAACTTCAGATAGGAATCACCATCAATCTGACTTTGTATAAAAGCTTGTGGAATATCGCAGTGCCAAACATCGAAGCCTTGATTGACAGCTAGGGAGAACATCATTCGCACAGCAGTAAGGGAGGCCATAGGACTGAAAGTACTGAAGAAGTCTACGCCAAGGCGTGCCAGGAAGCCGCGCGCAACAAGGCGAGCTTTGTGCTTGTCATAAGCCCCATCAGCTCTATATTTGACCTTGAGGACAATTCTTGAGTCAATGGGTCTAGCGCGATCAGGCATAGGAACTAGTTCAAAAGCACCAATAGAACAGAGGTCATGTATTTCCTTTGCTATAGCCTCTATCATTTTGGGTCTTTGCTCAATTGGTGTCTTGGCTAAGTCTGCTAGTTTGCTCGTATCGATTCGAATGTCTTCCTTAGTGACAGTATATAGCGCTAAGAAGATCTCTGTAGCTTGTGGAAGTAAATCCGCAGCTGCATCAGGATCAGTGTTCTCAATGACTTGATTGGTCATAAGAGTAAGGTAATCCACGAGTCGATCGTGAACATCGTAGTTAGTCGCATAATGAGCCTCTGGATTCTTCACTAGACTATAAGAGTCGTACTTGACCGTATGGTACTGATCATGTGTCATGCCTAGCATATTGGCACGCTGGAAGTCCTCTACGAGATTCCGCTGTATTCTTGCCTCGCGTAAAAGTTTCTCGTCG